CACCACCAAGGTAGCAGGCCAGGTAGAAAATAGAAGCTGGGAATGGAAGACCACGTAGGGAAATTGGAGTAAATGTCAGTGAGTCTAACAACAAACACAACAGGACATGGGAGTTTAGGGATGTAACAAAACACCTAGCTTCAGGGTGAGAAGATACAGTACAACTCATCAAGAAAACAAAGTCTAATTTCAAAAGATACAGTACATCTCATCAAGAAAACAAAGTCTAATTTCAAAAGATACAGTACATCTCATCAAGAAAACCAAGTCTAATTTCAAAAGATACAGTACATCTCATCAAGAAAACAAAGTCTAATTTCAAAAGATACAGTACATCTCATCAAGAAAACAAAGTCTAATTTCAAAAGATACAGTACATCTCATCAAGAAAACAAAGTCTAATTTCAAAAGATACAGTACATCTCATCAAGAAAACAAAGTCTAATTTCAAAAGATACAGTACATCTCATCAAGAAAACAAAGTCTAATTTCAAAAGATACAGTACATCTCATCAAGAAAACAAAGTCTAATTTCAAAAGATACAGTACATCTCATCAAGAAAACAAAGTCTAATTTCAAAAGATACAGTACATCTCATCAAGAAAACAAAGTCTAATTTCAAAAGATACAGTACATCTCATCAAGAAAACAAAGTCTAATTTCAAAAGATACAGTACATCTCATCAAGAAAACAAAGTCTAATTTCAAAAGATACAGTACATCTCATCAAGAAAACAAAGTCTAATTTCAAAGCTGGCAGAGACCAGGCGTCCTCAGAGGCGTCATCCAGCAAACACAGAGACCCACAGCTGAACTCGAGGCAGAGCTGCAGGTGGAGGGAGCATGGTAGGAGCCAGAGTGGAAAAGGACACCATGACAACACGGGCCACAGAATCAACCACGCAGGGCTCACAGAGACCGAAAGACCAGAGACAGGCGCTGTGTGTCTGCGCTGGGTCCTCTGCACATGGTAAGGTTGTGCAGCTTGTGTTCCTGTGGGACTTGCAACAGTGGACATGGGGGAGACTGAGTCTGTCGCCCATGCTCTTTTTCTCCTACTGGCCTACCACATCCAGCCATGATACGAGGGCTTTTGCCCAGTCTTATTGTCGCTTGTTAGGCTAGACCTGCTCTTTTTTTTTTAAGGGAAACAGGAGGAGGGGTTGATCTGAGGAGAAAAAGAGGTGGGGGAGGTCCTCTCCTCACAAAGCCACAGGAGTTGTAGGAGACAGGAAGATGGGCCAGGAAGGATGTCTAGAGGGTGAGGTCAGAGGTTGAGAACAGTCATGGTGGGAAGAGCAGGGAAGGGTCCAAAGTGAAGACACAGAGGCTAGATGACAAAGTCAGGGAAGGTACTCCCTTACACTTACACACACCCCAAACACGCTGAGTGTGAGCAGGGATCTGAGGACAGTGAGGGGTGAGCTGTGTAGACATCTAAGGAGAGAGTTCCATACAGAACCACTGACGAGACCAAAGGCACTAAGGGGATAAAGGCCATGCCACAGACTACAACGCCATGACAGGAAAACACACACACACAGACACACAGACATACACACAAGCACATATGCACACACGCATGCACGCACAGACACGCACCCCCCAAAGCAGAGTGATGACCACTTGCTTAACACCTGCAGCCGTCTTTCTAAGAACCAAAGGCTCTGACGTTGAAGGCCGTCTTAGGGTTTCTATTGCTGTGGAGACACAGTGACCACAGCAGCTCTTGCAAAGGGAAACACCCAGCTGGGGCGGCGCACATTTTCAGAGATTCAGTCTATTCTCACCACGGTGCAACATGGTGGTAGGACGTGGAGCTGGAGAAGGAGGTGAGAGTCCCACATCTTGACTTCCAGGCAACAGGAAGTGGTCTGAGATACTGGACATGGTTTGAGCATATGTGAGGTCCTCCCAAAGCCCACCTCCACAGTGACACTCTTCTTGCCACAAAGCCACACCTCCTGGAAGTGCCATTCCCTATGAGCTTATGGGGTCAGCGACTTTCCAGCTGTCACTGGTGTCTCTTTCTTCACGGTTACTTTCACTTTGACATTGCAGACCTGTGGAAGGGTAACTCAAAAGGGAGACTATCTTCAGCCCCAACTCTTGGGGTTCTACCCACCAGCATGGCCTGAGGAAGATCCTCTGGGACTCCGGCAGGGTCTGGCTGAGGAGACCCCGGTATTTTATTAGAGAGATAGCTGGTTGGAAGGAAGGCCTGGCTCCAGAACTCTGTTCCATACTCAGCTCCCGGTAACCATGGAGAGCTTGTCTCCAGGGCTAGGATTTGACTCCATGTCAGAGCTGACAGGGAACAAGGCTTTCCTGACTGTCCAAGTCCCTTAGAGTGTGGAACCAGGGTACACTGCCATGACAGCTGTAGTTTGGAGGTCACCTGAGCAACTGCTTCCCCTGAGTCTCAGTGCACAGGGGCCAGGACATAAGCCAACTCTTCTGGTGGGCTTAGGAGACTTCACAGGAATGCCAGGTCCCCACAGGGAAGGACAGAAGACCCTGAAGTTCTCCAGGCAGCTCCTTGTCCTCAGGGTCCAGCCTAGGGAGTTCTCTCCTGCAGGTAATAATACGAGATGCTGCTCATGTGAGCAGCTCCCCACCTGCCTGTCCAGGTACACCCAGTCCTTCTAGGAACCATGCTCAGAGCCTGGGTGCAAACCATTCCTGAAGAGATGGATCAGAAGAAACACTGGGGACTCCAGATGCTGAGCACTGACAACCTCCCAGGACGCTGCAGGTCTGCTGTGTGCATGTTGGGCACCAGGACAGAGCCAGCAGAGAGTCCCTGCTTGTGCCTAAATTATCTGTGAGGGAGCCTTTGAGGAAGCAATGCAGGAACCAGTTGATTAGGGAGGAGCTGGCGGTGAGGACTGAGAGCATCCTGGGAAGTCCAGGATCAGGGAGTCAGCTCCACAGTCCACGGATGGTTCTCCTTCCTTCCTGGTCTAGACATCCAGGGAGGATCATGTGGAGAGAAGCCTTAGTACCTGCCAGTCCTTCTGAGGACATGATGAAGCCCAGGGAAGCCATCAGAGTCACACCAACAGCGACACCAGTCACAATGGCTACCACAGTTCACAGAGGGAGGCCTGGGGAGTTCTATTCTGCAGCAAGAAGATAAAGGAAAAGAAGGCCCAGGTCACCTCCAGGAAAACCATGAGGGGTCCAGCCAGGGCTGGAGGGGACAAAGCTGAAAGAGTCCCAGGGGCTTTGAGAGTTGTAATCTCGGAGTCTTCCTCTGCTGTCTTATTCCAAAGGCCACCACTGCAGAAACCAAGAGTCCTGGACTCAACACAGTGGGAATCCTACACAGTGGGGAACCTGGCAGATTATGGAGCCCCAGGGGAGTAGCTGTCTCTTCTGATGTCTGTGCCTTCACTATGACACGGGAAGCAGGGTCTGCATCCAGGTGTCAGTGAGAAGGAACCAGAACAAGCAGCTACTCGTGTGGGAATCGTAAGGGGGCAACAAGCTGGACAGGGCAGGGGCAGACCTGCCTGAAAGAGAGGTGAGGGGATGAGGGGCAGGGAAGGGGCAGCAACAGGACAATGTGTATGGCAGCAGCAGTGGGGCTTAATGACATCCAGGAATCCAGGGAACCAGACCCAGACTTGGAACCACACCAGTGTCACCTGACGCCCCTCCCACATCTCAGCAGCCCCAGCTTATGGTCACTAGGAGCTTTCTTAGGTGTCTCTGGACCAGAGAGAAGGTGGGGGTTTGCAGACTTCAATCTTGGACGTCAGCAGCTTGAAGTCATGTCTGGGCCAGAAACTGAAAGCAAGTGAACAATCAATTTTGATTCTAGAACCAAATCGCCTGAGTCAATAGAATCCCCTAACTCACAGCCCCCCTCACTGGACTAGAAATCCCATGTTTCTTCTATGCCGATGCCAGTCCTACTGGAGATTATAGGAGAGAACTCTGCTTCTCTCATTGGACCCTGCAAGACTCAGGGGAAACAGTGTAACCAACACGTAACACTTTTATGATGGAGGAAGAAAGGAATGAATAATTTGCAAAGACTGAAGGAACGGCCTAGAAACTAGAACCTGGAGCTTACATGCAGAGTCCCGGGAGGCCTGGTCACACCTACTTCCTGCTTTGCCTAGAAGCAGAGACGTTTTGTCTTTTCTTCTAGCAACGCCTTCTTTTCTTTTTCTTATTTTTATTACTTTAATTTTAAATAGCTTGCTTCACATGTCAATCCCAGTTCCCTCTCTCTCCCCTCCTGTACCCCCTCCCATACCCCCAGCCCCTGTAGGGAGCCACTCCTGCATTCTCCATTACAAGATAGCACCTGCATCCGGCAGGTACTGTTGGTGAACAAGCAGAATACACATGCGCTGGGTAATTTTCCATCCCTGGGTCCCTGCCTCTCCCGTGGCGTCACATGGGCCATTGAGCAACAGCCAGTCAGGGGGTGACATGTCCCAGGCGAAGGTTGCTGGCCTATATAAGGAAGGGGTTTTATGTGTTTGGGGTCTCCGCTCTGTAAGCTTATGCTCTCCCTCTCAGACGCATTAAAGCTTTACTGTAGAAGGTTCCTGAGTGTGCCGTGTCGTTCTTGCTGGCGAGACGCTAGCGCTTGACAACTGGTGCCGAATCCCGGGAATCGAGACCTTATCATCGTCAGCACCATCGGAGACCCCTTGACTGCAAGGAGGATTTAGAACTACAGGCAGGTACGTCTCGGAGAGGTATGTTTTTTCTGGACTTTGGCTTAGGACTGTCACCACCTTGGGACGGAAGTGTTGAGGCTTTAGTGCTTGTCCTCGGGGCCACTTTGATCTTTGTCGCTATCCTGTTTTGTTACCATTGCTGGCATTGCTAGGCGCAGCAAGACCGATGTAGATAAGCGGCAGCGCCTTGGGGCGCGTGTCAGTCTCTTGTAGATAAAGGAGCTGCGCACAAAAACATCACTTTCATTTTCAGCGCACCAGTAAGACGGACGTACATAAGCCGCGGGTGCTAATTCATCATGGGCTCTTCGCAGTCGGTCATTACCGCACTAGACACAGTGCTAAGACAACGGGATATAAAGATTGCCCATCGGACTTTGAAAAATTTCGTTAAGGAAATTGATCGGGTGGCCCCTTGGTATGCTTGTTCCGGGTCATTGACTCTCGCCTCATGGAACGAATTAGGCAAAGATCTCGATTATAAATTAGCAGATGGAGATTTGAGGCAGGGCACAAAAGCCATTTGGAAACTTGTTAAAAATTGTTTACAAGATGAAGCCTGTAGGGGTGCTGTAGCAAAGGGCCGAAGTACCCTTGAGGAGGTCCAGGATAGCATGTCAGAAACCGAGCGTAGTGAGAGGTTGGGCGCGCACAAAAAGAAAATCATCCACAAGAAGGAAAAAGGCCCCTCGGCGAGTCTAGTGACAAGGGGGTGTTTCAGCCAGATCACGGGGATCCTCCCCCTGCTGTTAAACCAAAGGGAGGAGCTGGCTTCTACCCTGTGCAAGAGCTTGAAGCCTTAAATCTTGACAGTTCTGATGACTCTGAAAGCTCAGAGGATGAGGGTTTAGATACTGAGGAGGAAGCAGAGCTGGAAGAGGAGGAAGAAAGATACCATCCAGATGACCAGATACATAACAACAAAACACCTCGGAGGCGGCTGGTTCAAACAGTCCCCTCACAAGTGGTTCCCTCGGCGCCTCCGCCATATGAGACGCGCCCAAAGTTGTTTTGCTTTCTTCCAGAAAAGGTAAAACGCAGAATGTGCCTCGCTTTCCCTGTTTTCGAAGGCGTTGATGCGACACAGCGGTTGCATGTACCCGTAGAATACAATCAGATAAAGGAGCTGGCCGAATCAGTCAGAAAATACGGAGTTACGGCCAATTTTACTCTTGCACAACTAGATAGACTTGCCATGAATGCCCTAACGCCTTCTGATTGGCAGATGGTAGCGAAGGCAGGACTTGTCAGCATGGGCCAATATATGGAATGGAAAGCACTTTGGCATGAGGCTGCCCAAGAGCAGGCTAGAGCTATTGTGGACATTTGACATGCTTACAGGCCAGGGTCGTTTTGCAGCTGATCAGACCAATTATCATTGGGGTGCCTACCCACAGATTGCCAGCACGGTTATTAGGGCCTGGAAGACACTCTCCAGGAAAGGAGGGGCAGACAACCAACTCACAAAGATTATTCAAGGGACTCAGGAGCCTTTCTCTGACTTTGTGGCAAGAATGACAGAGGCAGCAGGGCGAATCTTTGGTGATCCCGAGCAGGCTGCACCTCTTGTTGAGCAACTTATTTTTGAACAGGCCACCCAGGAATGTTGTGCAGCTATAGCCCCGAGAAAGAACAAAGGATTACAGGATTGGCTTAGGGTCTGTAGAGAACTCGGGGGACCCCTCACTAATGCGGGGTTAGCTGCAGCAATCCTACAGTCTCAAAAGCGCCCCCTTAAGGGGCCAGATAAAAGAACCTGTTTTAAATGCGGAAAGGCAGGGCATCTAAGAAAAGATTATAGGATGCCGGACAGGGAAAGAGTTGCGGCAAAGGATACCATAAGACTGCCCAGTGCCGCTCGGTACAGGATATAAAGGGAAGGGTTCTCCCCCCTATAGAAGCACCAACAAATGAGGTTCCAAAAAACGGGGCGTCGAGCCCACAGTTCCAGGGCCTGCCAAAATATGGGAACAGAGTCAACAGGATGATAAACGAGACCCCTCAGGAGTCGGAACAAGAATGGACTTTTGTGCCGCCTCCAACTTCCTATTAATGCCTCAGATGGGGGTTCAACCCATTCCCGTTCTAGCCCCAAAACCATTACCGGAGGGGACTATAGGGCTCCTTCTCGGTAGAGGGTCGCTTACATTACAGGGACTAGTTGTTCATCCAGGTGTTATTGACGATCAACACTCCCCCAAGATCCAAGTTTTATGCTCCAGTCCAAATGGGATATTTTCCATCAACCGAGGGAATAGAATAGCTAAATTACTGCTCCTTCCAAGCGACCCTCACTATGGTACGGGAAATAAATGGATGGGCTCTTCAGAGTCAGACTCTGCTTATCTAGTTGTTCAACTTCATGATCGGCCAAGGCTATTACTTTGGATTAATGGCAAAAGTTTTGAAGGCATATTGGACACAGGGGCGGATTGGAGTATCATCTCCTCTCATTGGTGGCTGAAATCCTGGCCAGTCACAGAGTCATCACATTCCCTACAGGGGCTAGGCTATAGCTCCCACTCCACTATTAGCTCCTCTATGCTTACATGGAAATCAGAGGAAGGTCATCAGGGACAGTTTACCCCCTACGTGCTTCCCCTCCCTGTTAATTTGTGGGGACGTGACGTACTGCAAGGCTTGGGGCTCGTATTATCTAATGAATACTCGCCGCAAGCTTTCAATAATATGAAAAAGATGGGGTATGAACATGGAAAGGGGTTGGGACACTTAAAACAAGGACAGGTAGAACCCATATCCCCTGACCCAAATCCAGGGAGACAGGGCCTGGGTTTTTCCTAGGCGCCACTGGGGCAGCACGGCCCATACCTTGGAGAACGGAGGACCCGGTGTGGGTTCCCCAGTGGCCATTGACCTCTGAAAAATTAGAAGCAGTAAACAGCCTTGTGGCAGAACAATTGGCATTGGGGCACATAGAACCATCTACCTCCCCTTGGAATACTCCAATCTTTGTTATTAAAAAGAAATCAGGCAAATGGCGCCTACTTCATGATTTAAGAGCCATTAATAAGCAAATGCATCCTTTGGGTGCAGTGCAAAGAGGTCTCCCAGTGCTTTCTGCTTTGCCCAAAAATTGGGACCTAATTATTCTAGACATTAAGGATTGCTTTTATTTCTATTCCATTATATCCACCAGATAGACCTCGCTTTGCGTTCACCATTCCCGCCATTAATCATGAGGAACCTGACAGGCGATATCAATGGAAGGTGTTGCCACAAGGCATGGCAAACAGCCCTACCATCTGTCAATTATATGTACAGGAGGCTCTCAGACCCATCAGAAAACAGTATCCTAGTTTGCTTGTCATACATTATATGGATGATGTACTCCTGTGTCATGAGGAATTAAAAGTCCTTCAGGAGGCCTATCCCTTACTGCTTAAAAATCTACGGTTCTGGGGCCTCCAGATTGCCACAGAGAAGGTCCAAATTGCCAATACCGGGCACTTTATAGGATCCATGGTGTTCCTGGACAAAATCCTCCCGCAGAAAATAAAAATATATAGAGGCGATTTGCATACTTTGAATGACTTTCAAAAATTATTGGGAGATATAAATTGGCTACGGCCATTCCTAAAGATCCCCTCTGCAGATTTGAAGCCCCTATTTGACATTCTGGAAGGGGACGCCCATATTACCTCCCCCAGGTCCTTGACACCCGCTGTAGAGGCAGCCCTCCGTTCAGTGGAGGAAGCTATTGAGGAAGCACAGCTATGTCGTATTGAACCATCACAACCTTTTTCCCTCTGCGTGTTCAATACGAGGAAACTACCCACTGCAGTGCTTTGGCAGGGTGGACCCTTATCGTGGGTCCATCCACATGCCTCCCCGCAAAAAGTTATTGATTGGTACCCTGCAGCAATAGCTCAGCTTGCCCTTAGGGGTCTAAAAGCCGCTGTCAATCATTTTGGCAGACATCCCACGTTTTTAATTGTTCCCTACAACTCTTTCCAGGTACAGACATTGGCTGCCGCTTCTCATGATTGGGCCATATTAGTCACTACCTTTTTGGGAAAAATTGACAATCATTACCCTAAACACCCTCTGCTGCAATTCGCTGCGTCTCATCCTATTGTATTTCCCCGGATCACCTCTCATACCCCCCTAAAGAATGGATTGGTGGTGTATACAGATGGCTCCAAGAGTAGCCTGGGAGCTTATGTGGTGGGTACCCAGGTGTTCTCACGACAATATGCCAAGACTTCCCCTCAAGTGGTGGAATGCTTGGTGGTATTAGAAGTTCTTCAAAAATTCCCAGGTCCTCTTAACATTGTTTCTGACTCTTCCTATGTGGTTAATGCTGTAAACTTACTGGAAACTGCCGGGATCATTAGATCCACTAGCAGAATGGCATCTCTATTCCAAGGATTACAAGATTGTTTGTTAACCAGACAGGCTCCAATGTACATTACACATATTAGGGCTCATTCTGGACTTCCTGGCCCAATAAGCCAAGGAAATGATTTGGCAGATAGAGCCACCAGATTGGCTGCGGCGGTTTTTGTCTCCCCGCTGCAAGCCGCTAAGGCCTTCCATGACAACTTTCATGTTACTTCTGAGACCCTACACAAGCGCTTCTCTCTTACCAGGAAAGAGGCACGTGATATTGTCACTCAGTGTCATAATTGCTGTCAATTTCTTACCACCCGTCACACTGGAGTAAATCCAAGAGGGATTTTGCCATTGCAAATATGGCAGATGGATGTTACTCATATTCCCTCCTTTGGAAGACTCCAATATGTACATGTATCAATCGACACCTGCTCTGGTGTCCTCCATGCCACACCACTCACTGGAGAAAAGACCTCCCATATGATTCAACACTGTCTTGAGGCATGGAGTGCCTGGGGAAAACCTAAATGCTTAAAGACTGACAATGGACCTGCTTATACTTCTCAGAAATTTAAACAGTTTTGTGCGCAAATGCAAGTCACACATGTTACGGGCTTGCCATATAACCCTCAAGGGCAGGGCATCATTGAGCGTGCACATCGCACGCTCAAATCATACTTAATTAAACAAAGAGGGGGAATAATAAAGGATTTACCCCCAGTGCCACGAGTTGCCATAGCAGTGGCGCTTTTCACCATTAATTTTTTAAACTCAGATGAGCATGGTCAGACTGCAGCAGAGCGGCAGTGCTCAGACCCACATCGACCCAAGGAACTGGTGAAATGGAAAGATGTGTTAACCAATGAATGGAAAGGCCCGGATCCTATTCTAATAAGATTCAGGGGAGCTGTTTGTGTTTTCCCACAGAATGAAGAAAACCCTTTCTGGGTCCCTGAAAGACTTACCAGGACAGTCATGGAACAGAAGGATGCAGCAGACCAGACACATGAAAAGGGGGAGCAAGCTGCTCCTCCTTGTGTTACTGATGATGATCAAAACCCCAGCTGTCCAGGGGGAGCCGCGTTGGGGAATCATGTCAACGTTCCCACTTCCGATGCCGGTGATGTATAATGCACAGGTTTTTCCCCGATTTTTTGCCACTAATAAGGAGCTGGGCCTAGCTTTCCTGCCTAAAGATGAACAGATTCAGGAGCTTGGTGAAAATAGAACTATTTCTCTTAAAGGAAGCCTTTGTTTCTCAGCAGTTGACCAAAGCGCTGCTGATATGCCTTGCATTTTATTAAGCAATCAATCCTCGGCATGGCTCAAGGAGACCACCTGGAGAACAGGAGGTATAGTTATGGCTAATGCCTGTGTAATTTATGGATGATGGCCACGCTTCCCAGTGGTAAATATCTCCACAGCTCCACCCCGTCAGCCAAAATTAGCCCCCTTTTGTAGAGGGGAGCAAACTGAAGAATTGACTTTACCCTGGATTGGGTGCCAGTCCAGGGGCTCTGCTTGGGCTATTGAAGGCTTCTTTTCCTTTTCCCCCAATACGGGTATGGGAATTAACTTCACATCTCTAGATCCTATGCAATCCAACCTTAACCCGTTTGACCAATGGCTGCTTTGTAGCATTAATGGAAGCTGCACTGACCTTACACCTATGGCAATGATTAAAGGGGGTAAAGGTGAAAAAGGGCAGCTGGAGTTTGACTGGAAAGGGTCTGTTGGCAGCGCCCTTCAGTCGGGCCATAGCTCTGGGTCATTCAGCTGGAAGGCCAGTGACATAAAATATCAATCCTTCATACATACAAATTATGATCCCACACCGGTGTGTGTTTAGCTTCCTTTTATTTGGATTGTAAGCAATAAGACTATTAATGAGAGTAATGGCTCTAAATTGGATTACAAATCAGGAGGGCGTTACTACACGTTGTGTTGGGATGCTGTGAAATTCCCTTTAGCTGTAGTGACTCGCATGCCGCGGTTTGTACCTGTCCCTGTGGAAGCACCTAGTAGTATGACGCTTTTCAGACCAAAGAGAGATTTTGGGATTTCTGCAATAATTGTTGCCATCGTGACCACTACTGCAGTCACGGCGGCGGTTACAGCTTCTGCCCTCGCATTGTCCAACTCGGTGCAAACGGCACAGGCTATCAATGGCTTATCGGCCACGGTGTCCGAAGCCCTAGACAAACAGGCCTCTGCAAACACCCAAATACAGGGTGGTTTGATGCTAGTAAACCGCACATTGATTTAGTGCAGGAGCAATTGGACATATTGTGGCAGATGGCCCAACTAGGCTGCGAGCAGAAACTCCCAGGCCTATGTATCACCTCCATCCAATATGAGAATTTTACCAAAGCAGCTAATTTGTCTAAAAGTCTTTTTCAGTTCATGTTACAGATTGGACTTCTGAGTCTGAGCAGACGCTTCGGGAGCTGAGAACCGCTATTATCCAGGTCAACTCCACGCGCTTGGATCTGTCTCTGACGGAGGGATTGTCATCTTGGATCGCCTCTGCTGTTTCCTACTTTAAAGAATGGGTGGGGGTGGGATTATTTGGCGCAGCCATTTGCTGCGGACTGTTGTTGCTTCTTTGGCTGGTCTGTAGGCTCAGGGCTCAAAATAAGAGGGACAAGGTGGTTATTGCCCAAGCGCTAGTAGCTTTGGAACAGGGGGCCTCCACAGACA